AAAAAAAAAAAAAAAAAAAAAAAAAAAAAAAAAAAAAAAAAAAAAAAAAAAAAAAAAAAAAAGTTAAAACCCAAATGATTTATACATTAAAAAAAGGGGTAAATAAAAAAATAAAAATAAAAAAGGCTCAAAAAAGGAAAAATAAATAGAAATATATGTGGAAATTAGAAAAAGGGCACAGGCTGTCCAGTGAGACACTCCTTCGTTAGATTGATACTTGGTGGGCCCCACACTATTCTTCTTCTTGTCAGTGGTTCAACTTTTTCCACGCTGTCACCTCTCTCTTTAGGAACCAAAAATCCTATCTCACGCGCCATAAGTTCACGTGGTACCACGTACGGTTCAGATTTCCTGTATAGAGCGTGATGTTCAGTCGCTGGTGATATTTGATAAGATACGGATTGCGTTGGCCGCTACGCTTCAAAATATATCTTTTGCGCAATAAAACGGTTCGTTTTGGCTTTATTTTTGTTTTTGATTATCTGATACCAAAAACCCCATATTTGTTTCACTAATATTGGACGATTTTGCTTTGGCTTTTTCCTTTTATACACAATTGTAAATTACTAGTTTTGTTACTTTTAAATATTAATTGTTTCGCTTTTTTGTAATATTATATTGACGTGATACCACTTGGCACAATTGAATTCGATTCAAGAAGAAAATTTTAGAAAACGGAGACAGAGAGATTTCGAAAGAGAGTTTTGAAAGTAAAATTTGAGAAATTGGAAATGGTGTTATATAGGAATGCAAGTAAAAAGGCAATAACAAGGACTTACTGCATATAACTATCAAGTAGGAAAAAGTTGACAACTAGTCATATCACTTTATAGTACATTTTAGGGCATTTTAGCCGTGACAAGTGTAGACATGATTTTTGGCGAACGGTCATACACCCTCATACTGACCCAATATGGAATAGTAAAGACCTATCTATGAGGAAAGCATGTAAAAGGGGTTTGAAACGGGCATGCAACCATGGACAATACATCCTGGACAAGCAAGACCGGGATGTTACAATTGCATTCTTAACAACAGTTGGGCTGCATTTGTTCTAACCTAAAGAACAAGTCAGTCGTGAGAAATTCAAATTTTGCAGATAACGTCAGCATATGTTCGAGCCTCGAATTACGTTTGTATTATGGATAGTAAAATTACATTTCTACCCTCCAACTATTGGAACACAAACATCAAATCATAGTTACCCCTATATATATTTAGACAAAGAATGGGCAATGTATGGAAAGCTAATTTTGGGTGGCAATCATGGAGTTTTTTTAAAATATAATAATGGTTTTTTTTTTTAAATAAATAATTAAATTGTGGGGATGTAAAGGGGCTTTTTTTGAGTTGAAAACTAATATGAGAGGGAAAAGCATTAAATTAAATGTTAAAACACTTTTATTAATTAACAAAAGTTGGGTTTGCAATTGAGGGAAATGCTCCTTACATCTTTTCCACTCATCTTCCCTTGCACTTCAAATTAAATTCAATATAAATTTTACACCTTTTAGAAACTAATTTTATAAATCTTTAAAATAAATAAAAATAATAATAAACATGTGTTTTTTTAAGTTAAATTAATATAAATATCTTTAAACTTCCCCTTTTATCTAAAATATTATTTAAATCTTAAAAGTTTCAATAATATAACTTCAAGAATATAGTTAAATTTTTTTTTATAAAAATGGTTAATATTTTTAACAAAATTGGTTTCAAAATTACCCTTAATTTTTTAATTTTTAACTAACAAAAAAAATCTAATCATATTATTTAAATTTGAAAATGCAATTGAGATATTGTCGATGTTCACTACAGGTCGATACAAGTCACGTGAAATTTCTGTTAATTCATAAATATAAATTATAATTATTTTTTAGGCTAAAATTAGTACTTGCCACATCACCCTACAGTCGATGAAGCCCGGCTCAAAGTATGTTGAGGTCATTCCCGACTCAAAACGAGTTCATCCAAACTATTATTTTGAATGCAGGGATATAATGATATAGTGAGAAATACAAATTATAATCATACATGTTTCGTGCATCGTGGCACACTAAAATATAATAAATGACCCGAACTCTTAACACACTCCTTTTTTTTTTAAAATTAAAATAAAATATTTAAAAATATCTAAACGAAGAAAAAATAATAATAATTGGGTCAATTTTCTTAGAGAGAGAGAGAGATGGGGTCATTTCATTTCTTGAAGGGGAAAAAAAATTAGATAAAAAGGAAATGGACAGTTGGACACCTAAAGTGGGGTTGAGGGTGTTTGGTGACGTGGCAAAAGAGGGTGATTTGGGATTCCATTTCAAAGCCCCTTAATCATTTCTCCCACGCTCCTCCCTCCCCCCCTTCTTCCCTTTTGTTTGGATACTAGTATACTATACCCTTATTCCTAGTCTATGTTTTACACGTGGCCTTTTATCTCCTAATTCCTTCATTTTCATTGCCACGTTTCCCCCTCACTCTCTTTCAAATCTCTAAACCCTCACCCCTTTTGTCTACGAGGCGGGATATGGTGTCTTGCTCTGATACTATTTTGAACAGTCCAATCCCTGCTAGAAGATATTCTCATCTTTGGATTTTTCTTTTCTAGCCGTCCCTTAAGGTTTCAAAATGCATATACTAGTGAGAGCTGTCTATACCTAAGAATATTTGCATAATCCACCCGTGATAGTTATCTTATTTGTAATAAAATAAATTACAAGAATATGGAAAGAGTAATAAATGGAAACAACAATAAAGGGAAAGATATCCATGATAGAAAGGCAAATATCTAGATATTTGCCTTATAATAAAATATCAAATATAATATATGCGGTAAACTATAATTTAGTATTAAATATCCTTAACAATACCCTTATAAAAATTGTTTTGTTCCCTCTCTACAAACGATGCAGGATCTCATAATCTACTCCATTTGAGAACCAACATTCTCGTTGCCACATCACTTGGTGACTAGCTCTAACATTATTTGTAACAACACAAACCTACTGCTAATAAATATTATCTACGGAGGCTTTCACGCCCTTATAAAAAATATTTCGATCTGATTCGACTTATTTTTCAATATAAGGAAATTTGTGTCACACTCAAAATCACATGCATAACCACCTTATGGGAACGTTAATAATTCGAAAATAATGGATAAAATGAAATTAAAATCTTTACGTAAAACGACTTGTGAACTCCCAAATTAATTAATTTCATAAATATATTAATTTATAAATCATAAGATGAATTGTTGCCCGAAAAAATGGGATTTACAAATTACATTGCATTTCCATAGACTCCTACCTAATCGAAGTTTTGTCCTAATCAATTATTTAATTATTTAATATTTTTATATAATATTTTAAAAAATCCATTTAAAACAAATTGAAAAAAAAAAAAGAGGGAGTAGAGTGGAAGTTCCATTCTTCTGTCAACATATCATTCGCTATTTCGCTTTACCCTCCTCATCTAAATCACAGCTCAACGACGCTGTTCCATGGAGCCAAACAGCGACCCACCACCGTACTGGTCGCCGCCGACGATGCACCGCCGTAGATCCTCGTCTCCGCCGTTTATTTCGTTGCCGGTTTTGATTATTCTCTTGCCGACGCTCGCTTTGATTATATTGTTCTTTGCAATCCGTCCTCTTCTTTCGCTCACTCCTCAGCTTTTTAGACCAAATTCGGTGAAGAAGAGCTGGGATTCTTTCAATGTTTTTCTTCTTTTGATTGCGATTATCTGCGGGATTTTTGCTAGACGAAACGACGACGTACCGACCGCCGCTGATGTCGACGGTAGTCGTCGTTCTGATCGCAGGACGGTTGATGCTGCCGGAGTTAAGGTGAACGGGGACTTGGAGTTTCCACAGCAGTGGTTTGGATTTGCAGAGAGGAGATTTTCCGATCAGTCTGGGAGAACGCCGGGAACGGCGATGAGGTTGAGGAGGAATAGCTCTTATCCAGATCTGAGGCAGGAATCGCCGGGGGAAACTGGTAACGATGGTAATCAGTTTCGATTCTATGATGATTTTGAAATTAACAAGTTTCGATCACGATCCTTCGTGTATCGAACGCGAGGAAGTGAAATAGAAGAATCGCCGGCGGAGATTAAGGTTATTCCGGTTGATTCGTTTGTGGCTAATTCGTCGCCGACGCCTCAAAGGTTGAAGTCTTCCAATCCGCCGCCTCCACCGCCTCCGCCGTTGCCGGTTACTCAGAGGAAATCGAGACGGACATATCAGACCATCCAGAGAAAGGAGGAAGTTCAAGAGGCCAATACGAATGACGCTGAATTCGCGAAGTCGTATACGCCGCCGTCTCCGCCTCCGCTGCCTCCGCGAACAGTTATCCCTCCGTCGCCGGTCCGAGTTCGACTGGAGGAGAGATTTGGAAGGAGTGAACGGAAGAAAACAAATGTTAAGAAAGAGATAGCAATGGCGTTGGCTTCACTGTATAGGAAGAGAAAGAAGAAGCAGAAAGCTAAAAATATCTACGACGGCGACCGCCGCTCTCCAACTGAACAACGACCGCCCCCGCCGCCCCCGCCTCCACCGCCGCCTCCTTCCGTCTTCCGCGGCCTATTCAAAAAATCAAACAAGAACAAGAGAATTCACTCCGAATCTGCACCGCCGCCTCCTCCGCCACCACCACCCGTCCCATTGTCTTCCCGTTCAACAAAGAAGAAGATTCAGATCCCTCCTCCACCGTCACCATCATTCCGTCAGCGAAATTCCACCGCCAGCCGTCGACCACCGCTCCCGGCGAGGACGTACAATTTCAACATCGAAAACGAAGGCATAAACAGCGGTAGCCAGAGTCCCTCAGTAACCATACCGCCACCACCACCTCCGCCGCCGTTCAAAACTACGACGGATGTAAAATCCACGTTTCGAGGCGAAACAGCCGGGTCACGGAGCTCCGAAACCTCTCGTTGCGGATCTCCAGAACCGAAAAAGGTCGAACCGTCATCGGTTAAGGAGACAACGGAGCCAGCCAGCGAGGTAAACGGCGGCGGCGGAGTGGGGTCAGTGTTCTGCCCCAGCCCGGACGTTAACATCAAAGCTACAAATTTCATCGCGAGGCTGAGAGGCGAGTGGAGACTGGAGAAGATGAATTCGGTGAGGGAGAAAGAAAGATTGGGCCAAAGCCCAAACTACGAAATAATGGCGGACCCAGGCCCAAACGTTTGAGATTGAAAACGACGTCGCTTAAAGAAGAATATCCAAAGCTCTGATTGTGGTTTTTTTTGTTCATCTCTCAGAGGCTTTATTTTTCATTTCAGGCTTGCTTTAAACTGTATTTATATTTGGGTGGGTGTTTGTATTAAAAATTATTATGAGGGCACTATGGGAATTTCATACTACTAATTGGGTTTATATTTTTTTAACAAAAAAAAAAAAGAAAAAAATATATATATACATATACATATAGGTTCTAATTATGTTTTTCCAAGCCTCCATTTTTTGGGCACTCATTTTTACTGTTTTGTGATTCTAATTGAGAGTGAAAGATATAATGTTTCTTATAAATATAATTACATGATTATGTTTTTTAATTCTCTATTTAAATTAAAATTAAATCGTTCACAAAATATTAATTATAATTTTAAATGTCGATAATTTGATCTCGAATCTCGAGTATAAATGTTATTGGGAGAAAACTTATAAATAAAAAATAAAAAAACTTGTATTTATTTATTTAAAAATGTTGGACTATAAGAATTATACCAAAAAAAACATTTTTTTTAAATGTGAAAAGCAAAATCAATAATTTTTTATTGTCGGAATTGAATCCATACAACGACGCCGTTTTGTTTTGCTGTCGTTTCCCTCTTCTTCGTATCTGTTGAAAATGCCACAGATAATCTCTTCCTCCTTCCTCCTTCCTCCTCACCGGCTCCCTCGATGAGACCGTCAAGCTCTGGAAATCTGACGAGCTTGACTTGGACCGCGCCAACACCGGCCACTGCCTTGGCGTCGTCTCTGTTGTTGCTCATCCTTCCGGTTACGTTGCTGCCTCCGTTTCTCTCGATAGCTTTGTTCGCGTATTTGAGGTTGGTTCCAATTCCACTATCGCAACTCTCGAGGCGCCGCCGTTGAGGTCTGGCAAATGCGGTTTAATCCCGAGGTAATTCTTCTTTGGCTTATTGATGTTTTGATTTTTGTGCTGTTTAGGAATTTTTTGCTGCTCTTTGATTTGAGGATTTAACTAAGAATTTGAGATTGTTTTGCCTTTCACGTAAGAGCTAATCGACATAGTAGTCTTTTCTTTTGCTCTGATTCTTTCTTGGTACAAGATGCCTGATTCAGTAGATTATTGAATCTCAGTTTGTTCACTAACTTGATTCTTGAATGGAGGAAACATCTGTCGTGACTGTGTTTTGATGAAGTATAGGCTGTTTATTGTTAATTTCACTTGGATCAACGGTTCACTTTTACTGAGACCGTAGTCTATGGAATTCGATGAGTTCAATTTCATGTTGGTACGCTGAATAATGGACTGAATTGAGTTATGAATCATATGCTGAAGCAATTTTCAATTCTTTTCATATACAAATTAGCCCTTTAAATACAGAAATTGAGATGTCATTTGTGACAGAAACACTTACTCGTCGAGATGTCTATTTTTAGTAAATAGTTTATCATATTTACTATTGTATATGACATTCGACTAAAGCCATGAATGAATATAATGCCTATGGTGTTGTGCTCAATAGCGTTTGCAGTTGCTTTGAGTAATTCTGATGGTTCTTTTCACACTGCACAAACGTCAACCATTCTCTGATATTCACCCAAAAACGTGGTTCTAGTAAACCCATCAATATATAGATCTGAATATTGTTCGTTGTCATTTATGGAAGTTTAGACTATTTTAACTTTATGGCTGACCTGTTGTTTCTTTTAACAGAACTACTTTGTCCTGTTTGTTCTTTAATTCAACAACCTAAATCAATGAGAGCAGTGTTTCAGTTTTATTCAATCTAACCAGTAAAGAAAACCCACAAAAAATCATTTAATCTGTCTCATGTCATGTCCAAACTTAGCAGTAACTTCTGCGTCAGGGTACCATGTCATGAGACAGATACAAACACATGGAAACTGGCTGCAACTCTATCAATTCCTCGTCCAGAAGGACCTAAACCCACTGATAAAACTGCTTGCAAAATTCTGTACTTTCAGTAGCATGGAGCGTTAATGGAAGAAGACTTGCTTGCGGTTATGGAACCATTTCAGTCTTCGACGTAGCTCGCTCAAAGTTTCTACACTACTTGGAAGGCCACTTCATGCCAGTGAGATCCCCTGTTACAACAGTCCACCGCTGATAGTATTGGATTCCAAAAGAGTGGTTTGTTCTCCTCTCCAATTGATACGGAATCTCACGTGCCATGTCCGGCGATTCAAGTGGGGAGTTGAGTGTTGATGCAAGCCCTGATGGTGCTGTTGCAACAGGTTCAAGCGACAGAACTGTTATGCTTTGGGATCTCCAAATGAGGGCAGCTGTTCAAACAATGATCAAGCATCGCGATCAGGTCTGCTGGGGTGTTGTTGCATGTTAAATAAAAGCTCTGCCTTATTTAGTTAGGTTTGTCAAAACATATGAGTTCACGCGAATGGAGGAGCGTGATTCTAGGGGCCATTGTTTTGGCAGAGTGGCGGAGTCTTCGTCCACTTATTCTATTTTTGTATATTTAGTTTTTCTATTTTTGTAATTAGATTTATTATTTAAACCATTCAACGGATGTAAAATAAAGATATCGAGTCTTCAGCATTACCAGCGAATCTCTCTCTCTCTCTCCTTTTACTTCCGCTAATTTTTCCTTCGAAGAAACCTTCGGCCAATTTTTTCGTCGACATCCGATTTGCCAGAGTCAACAAGTGGTATCAGAGCCTGGTTGAAGCGATCGGTAGTATACCATCACAGAAGAGCCAACCTATCAACAATCAAGTTGAATAGCTCAAGTGGTTAGAGCGTCGACCTAATAACACACAGGTCTTAGGTTCGAGTAGAAGAAAATGCAAAGCGCAAAAATAAATACATCGTGGGGCCCATCTCAAGCAGGCTCGCTCACTCCTCCACGCCGCCAAGTGCCGGCATCTCCATCACCACCACGAAGAGGCCGTGGCCGACATCGTGATGACGGGCGTCGAGTAGTTGTTGAGCGAGTGATCAGAGAGACAACGACCGCCGTCGTTCAGTACCCGATGTTGACAAGGTCCAACTACAACGAGTGGGCCTTGTTGATGCGCC